GGAACTGCGAGTTTGAATCCTCCACGGCTTCGCACTATAAGTCGTTTCGGTAATACAGGATTACCCCTCCTCCTTTTGTGAGCCTGTCGTTCCAGATCAGCGACATGTCCGGTAGCGAAACTTCAGCGTCCGTCATTCCCGTTTGCAACCATGTCTCGGTGATACCAATAACATCATACGAGTCGGAAGCTTGGCGATCTTTCAGTTCAGCCAGTTTGTTAGAAAGACCCTGAGCATTTGTATACAAGCAGGACAGTTTCTCGGTTTTTAGGAGCGCGCAGAGAGGTGAAGCTGTCAAGTGTGGGAGATTGCCTACCGATGGGAAGTTGGCGGTTAATCGTTTTTTTGATGGATCAATGATACCTCGTTTGCAACTTGATTAGGTCAAGGTGCGTCCCAGCCTTCAATAGTTCAATAGTGTATGATGGGATAAAAAGCATTGGCTTTACAAGACCCATAGGATGGTAAATGCAAATAGATAAAAATCATTAGATTCCGACATGGAACTGAAATGCCAATAGTCCAAAACCTGGTACATCACACCACAATGTGTTGTTTGTCACTCAGATGAATGTCTAACAATTGTTTGAAGGCTGTAATGTTCGGAGCGTTTACCACATGCGTTGGCAAGTCATTCCATTGTGAACAGATTCTAAGAGAGTAAAAATATTTTCTACAGTCTAATCGGGAGTGTTGGATTATCAGCTTGAGGTTATGACCTCTCGATCGCTTATATGAGGCTAGGGTGAGCAGCGATTTGCACGGGTGATCGCTTTCCGTTAATATCCGGTATGCGAGAATGAGATCTCCGCGTAGTCTTCGGTATTCGGAGGAAAACATTCCGATTAAACTGAGACGCACTTCATAATTGAGACCAGATAATCCGCGTGTTGCCTTGGTAGCTCTTCGTTGGGGCTGCTCTAAGAGATGAATGTCTCGTTTTAACCATGGGCACCAAGCCTGGACGGCATATTCGACGTGGGGACGGATATAGGAGTTGACAAGCATGGGTACCAACCGTCGTTCAAAAACACCAAAGGCTCGCCTCAAAAGTCTCAGGTTCATGTTCGCCACGTTCGCTGCTTTGGAACATTGGAGCGAATTCCCCAGACTTTCTTGCACAATGATACCTAAGTCTTTTTCTGTGGTCACGCGCCGTAAAGCGTACTGCCCCAAGAGGTACGTGTTGACAAGATTGCTGCGCAATGACAGTAGGTGACACTTGGCAGGATTCAGGGGGAGGTGATTTATATCTGCCCATTTGTTGATTCTATCCAAATCATTCTGGAGGAGGGCACAGTCTGATGTTGAGTGAATAACTCTCCAGATTTTTGCGTCATCTGCAAAAATTTGCATCGAGGATTGAATATTATCCGGGAGGTCGTTAATGTAGACCAGAAAAAGGAGGGGACCAAGGACGGATCCTTGAGGAACACCGCTGGAGATGCAGAGGGTTTCCGAGAGGGCATCGGCGACTCTGACCTTGATCGTTCTGTCATGCAAATATGCTGCTAGCCAGGTGAGTAGGGAACCATGGATACCGTAGGCACGAAGCTTATGAAGCAGAGCTAAGTGATTGACTCTGTCGAATGCCTTCGAAAAGTCTAGGTAAATCACATCAAGGGGGGACCCTTCATCAACCGCTTTGGTCCATGAATCCCGAGCAAGAAGCAGATTTGTGAGGCAAGAACGTTTGCGCCTAAAGCCGTGTTGGAGGTGAGAAATCAGCTTCAGACTCTCAAAATATCGTGTAATTTCATCTGCAACTAACGATTCCATTACTTTTGATAACACAGGGAGGAGAGTAATGGGTCGGTAGTTGGCAGGATCCGATCGCTTACCTCCTTTGTATATCGGAGTGACTATCCCGCTTTTCCACTCAGACGGAAGTGTTTGGGAATTGAGTAGACTTTGGAAAAAGCTTGCGAGGTGTGCTGCTATGGTGGGAGCAAGAGTTTTAAGAACTTTGGGTCTGATCTTGTCGACTCCCGGAGCGCTATTTTCTCTTAGAGACCGTAATTTGCTAGCGACAGCTGCTGAGGTAAAAGTGACAGTTGATATGCCGACCACGTTGGGTGAATGCTGGTTTGGCAAAGGTTCTATGGCGTTTGCAGTCACTGTGCCAAACTGCAGAAGTAATGCGTTCGCAGCATCCACAGCAGTAGTCGTTAGGCCACCATCTGTCTTGAGTGGTGGTATTCCTGTTTTAACTTTTCTTCTGCTGTTCACGTACCTGTACAGCAGTTTTGTATTGTTCGTGAATTTAAGTACCATGTTTTTTTGCCATTCGTACTTATCGGCTCTAATCAGTGATGTGCAATAGTTCCTCACTATTTTGTAATTCTCCCAGGTGGCGTCGCAATGGTTCAGCGCGTATTGTCTCCAGATCTCGTCTCTGGTGCTAATCCATTTACGCGTTCTGCTTCGGATCCAGGTGTTGGTCCGGCGCGGCACTCGTAATGGTATGACTTTTGACGCTGCTTGCGTGACACAGCTAATTTTGTCTTTTAGTTCGTTCCACGCGTCGTCTGCCGTGCTCTGTAGATTGAGGTCCCAGTTGACGGTTGTCGCTAGGCTGTGCAGCACGGAATAGTTGGTTATAGTTCGTCGGTTTTCATGTCTGATTTCAGTAGTATTGGCGTAACACACATAGGCAAAATTCAACACTGAGTGGTCACTGTTGCCTAATGGTGGATCGTATGAAATTGTCTCAATCATCAACTCTTCGTTGGTTAGGATTAAATCTAGAAGCGATGGCTTATTTGAACCGCGGTGTCTAGTTGGGCGGTGCACGTGGTTGTACAGAGCTGCTGTATCCATAAACTCGAGAATTTTTGATTTAAAGTAAGGACCACTAGAAGTCGCTGAGACAATTGAGGGCACGTTAAAATCGCCCATGATTAGACAATGTGAGTACTTTTGAGAAACTGCATAATGAAGCGCATTTAACAGAATGTCATCTCGGTCTGCGGTGGAGTTCGGTGGCCTGTAGACAACTGCCAACAGACAAGCATCCCACGTCTTCTTCGAAGGTTCACCACCTCGGCCATTTAGCTGCATTCGGCAAAACAAAGCGTCGGAGACAGCAAGGTGACGTTCGTTAATAGCCTCACATCTCAGACAATTCCGATAGTACAGAGCAACGCCGCCACCGCGAGATGGACGATCATTGCGAATAACTGACATATCACTGATTTCGATTTCCGTGTCGAGCATGTCATTGGAGAGCCAGGTTTCAGTTACAGCTATGATATCCCAATTGATTGTGTTATGTCGATGGCGCAATTCAGGTAGCTTAGAGTTGAGCCCCTGAGCGTTTGTGTAGCAGCACTGTATCTGTTGACACATTAGGAGCTCGGTTCGTTGTGGTTGACCGGCACAGCTTGTGCCGGTCTGCGTACGTTTTTTGTCACAGGCGTTTGCACATTTGTCTGACCTGATTTAGGAACAACGGAGTCCGGTTCGTCTGTATCTGTAGCCCGTACTTTGTTTAGGAACGGTCTTAAACGTATTTCAGGTGGCCCACGTTTTCTGTTGTCGTGCCACGCTTGGACGGCCGTTGATACCATCTCAGGTGTAGCCACGGTGACTTTCAAAATTTTTGGCCCGTTACCCTGATAGTTTAAGGAGGCCGCTAGACGGGTGACATCGAAAGTCACGATATTTTGTATGTTGTAGAGCTCCGTTATGTACCTCCACTCTTCTATATCATGCTTCTGATGTTCATTTATATCGCCATGGTTAAGTTCTGGAACACCGTGGACCAGCACTACTTTCTTCGTCGCATCATGTCGTGACGCGACTGGGTCGGATTTCCATTTTTGCCTTTCTATCCATGGTTTATCTGGGAAAATGCGGGCGCTGAGAGAGGAATTTGTTAGCTTGTGGCCTGTCAGGAGCACATCCTCCAGGTCGCGTGTGTTACCAAATGTTACTCGTAATAACCGAGGTTGTCCTAAATGCGGCGAGGATGAATTTCGGGAAATGCGCGTAAGACTAGTTGCAGGAACGTTAATTTCGAGAGCACAGCATATCTCTGCCCAGCGGTTTTGTTCTTCCACTTGCCTACCTTTTAGCGACTCGCTCGTGGGCTCTGGTACATTTGAACACATAATTGTCAGAGCGTTTTTGTTGGACACTAACTGCTTATCCTGAGAGTTGTTACTGGTGGACATTTGTCTAGGTTGACTACTCATCTTGTCCCTTGTGCAGGGAGAGCCTGCGCTGCTACATGGCTGCATACGCGGAACGCCGTTTGTTGTGCTGTTTGTGGGGGTCAAATGTTGCTGTCCAACCCGTGACAGGGTTGAGCGTGCGGTTTGTGCATAGCTGTTTAAGCCTTGAGACACTTCACAAAACTTGGGAGGTCGTTCGACAGGCCTGTCTTCGCTGGCGTCCATCAACAATGGTGTGCTATTTTTACCGTACTGTGTGGCTTCTTTACTAAATGGCTCTCGCCTTTTGACAGGTCTGGGATTCGGGCTACTTAATACACTAATCTGCGACTCAAGTTCAGTGGTTTTTTTTACCAAGCTAGTAGTCAATTCCTTCAGTTCTGTGACCGTTAGGGCTAAACTTTCACATTTCGCCATAAGCGCTTGAGTGACCCTAGCCAACGGTTTGGTCGAACATGCGTCACACACACACAAGCCGTCGATCGACATACAGTGTCCTGTAGCCCCATCGAAGGAATTGGAACAAAGCGAGCATTTGGTGACCGACGTGTCTGGACCACTAATGACCTTGGATTTGTTGTTCATTGGCGTAACTTTGAGACTACGTCGGCCCATCATGTGCACGCGAGGAACAGTGGACATTGGAATATCACAAAGGCTTTGCGTGGCAAAACGCGCTAAGGGAGTTACAGCGGTAATTGCGTGATCACAAAATAGCCTCTATTTGTGGTGTCTAGAGGTGCACTACAATAAGTAAGGTGTTGTCTAGTAGCCTTAAAAAAGCTCCGTCGAATGGTATCCCAATGTAGTGGGAAAAATAAAAAACAACGCAGTTTCACAAGCAGGTCTTACCGAATGATCTGTCAAAGACGGTGTTCAGGATTTGCCAGTGTGTCGTTAGTAGTGCTGCAGAAAGACTGAATCCGTTGGATAGGTCTCGACAATCCGAGACGATTGAGTGTAATTCCGAAGATGTGGCACAAAATGGAAGGCGAATAGAGAGAAATAACACAAATTATCCAGGAGCGCGCGTCACGCGGTCACACACGCGCTTTAGGTGATAGAGAAGAGAGAGACCTACGTCAGAGTCAATTAAAGCAGCAGTCAAGTTAAGCTTTTGTACATTCGTCAGTATGCTTGCTGCTTCAGTTGCTTTGATATTTAAGCTGTGCAAAGTGTTTGCGACCTTTAACCGAATTTCGGAAGGAAGATATTTCCGATTTCTCCGCCAACGATCCTAAACATCCTTTGCTTGTTGCTCTGACTGAACCACAATTTTTAGCATTCTAGGGCCGCATCCACTATAATTCGATGAGAGAGGTATCCTGGTGAGCGATAGTGCCACAATATTATTCAAAGAAAGTGTTTCGCGAATGAACCGCTACGGTTCTAAATCGTGCTTTCCGGTCTCTTGAACATTGTTAGAAGGATGTTCTGGCACGCCATGTATGAAGATTGTGTTTAGACGGTCTTGCTTGCTGTGTCCCTCTTCGGTGTTTCGTTTTAGTTGTCGCGCGCTCCAAGGGACATCAGGATAGATACGTATCCCATGGGATTCGTGTTTTAGCGCGCTTGCGGAGAGCAAAAGGTTTTCTACGTCGGTGGACGATTTTATAGTTACTCGAATAAGTCTGGGTTCGCCATAGTGTGGCGGATTCGGATGACGAGTAATTCGTAGTAAATTTTATAGGCTTGGCTTTGATACTCATCTGCATACACAATGAGTTCCATTGGTCTTGGTCGTCTGATAACTTATCCCGCAATGTGATGGCGGTAGATTCAGGGACATTTGAGCATACAACAGTCCGGGCACTGTTGTTGGATCCCTTTTTCATCGATTTACAAGGTACGTTACTCATTTGTCCTGACTTGTTGACAAGTGATTGCTCTTTTTCTCTCTATTTGCGTTAACGATGTTTACAATGGAAGAGGACGCAACGGCAGCCTCTCGATGGACCCTTGCAACAATCTCTGCATATGTAACCGATGCTCTGGAAGGCTTAGTCTCGACGAGAGATATTTGAGCTACAGGTACCGAGGGTTGGTGTTTGGCTGCTTCATCCTTGTTAATACTAGATGTCAGGTCTAGTGGAATTTGCTTAACCAGACGTTTTGAATGGTGCCTGCTTTTCGTTGCTGTGAGTACTGTTTGATTCACGTAGATACAGTCTGTTTTCACCCGGCGTTCTACCAAAGTTGGAGAAGACAACGGAGATGGAGACGTGGCTGATTGCAGTTCAGGGGAAGCGGACTGTTCAGCATTCCGTTGCTTAGCAGCCGCTACGCTTCTGTGGTCCATACTCGCTTTCATTGAAGTAATCTTATTGTTTATCCTCTGCTCTGCTTCTGCGATTAACCGGTCGCATTTCTCAGCTAGGATAAGCAAGCACTTAACGAGGGGGATGGTGGAACACGCAGTACAGAACCAAAGTGCATGTTGGGAGCTATTCCGCTCCCGTAACTGTTGTTGGGACACATTTGCACATTTCGTATGGTACCACTCCAAACAGTTCGAACAAGCCAGACCGATTTTTACTACTCGATGACATTCTCTTAATCCGCAAATGCCTTTCGCTTGGAGTCTCTTCGGTTTCGCCTTTCTGCCATTCAATTTGGTGTCGTTACCTGAGCCAGTGGGATGGTTAGCATTCTGTACTTTTACAGCTTTGAGAGCGGCGCACATTGGTCAGGCGAGCGTGGGGGTTGCAAGGTCAAAAGAACGGTCGGCGTGGTCGGGCGGTCCACAAGAGCGGGTCCGCCGAATTTGAAGAGGGCTGGAGGTACAATATCTTGGAATATATTTTGAACCGACTGGGATTTCATGATTTCAAAAGGCTTTAAATACAAATCGGTTTTGGAAGGGTTTTATTGTGGCAACCTTTCGCCCTTGACACAAGAGCCTAGCCTGAAGAAGCTCTTGTGTCAAGGACGAAACGTTGCCACAATAAAACCCTTCCAAAACCGATTTGTATTCAAAGCCTTTTGAAGTCAGGGCTGGAGGTAGATCGTCTGGTCCCGCGGATGTATTTAACTTCAACCGTCGGATCACATGTTCGTCTTCTCAGCGAGAGGGTGGATCCAAAGGGACAGCCCAGGGAGCGGGGCGATCACTGGCCGGCGAGAAGTCTAACAATTCCGACCGATTAAATTGCTTTTCAAAATGTTCAGCCCAAACCTCCAAGCGTTTTGACAAGTTTTGGATAGGCTGTCCACTCTCGTCACATATACTTTCACTAACACCAGGTCTCCTGCTACCCGATTCACGTATCAGCCGGAAAAGCTGACGATGGTTACCAAGGGCAGCGGCCATTTTCATCTCTGATGCACGATGAGACCACCAGGATTCCCGGTCTCTCTTCAGGCTAGCACGGAGTTTTGCCCAGAGATCTTTGCGAATTTCATTGTGTTCGCTTCCAGCCGGAGTATGCCGGCGAGCATCTATAAGTTCCAGAGACCGCGAAGATACCCAATGTCCATGTTGGCGATTAGATTTACGACATGAGGATTCGCCTGCTGCTAGTAAGATCTGGTGAATATGAGACCAATGAGTTTCAACTGCATCCAGTGAGCGCTTACTCAGCGCGCATGACAGCGTATTTTGATAGGCATTCAGAACAGCTGGTTCTGCCAGTTGGCCGGTGTCAATGCGCTCACAACGTCGTCTTGGGCGTCAGCCAAAACGTATCCGCAGGACAGCACATGCAAGTGCATGGTCGGTGTCCACACCTGTGCTCCGAATCGTGCGACGGTTCTGGACGCAGCCTCACCATCGGTAACTTATCAGAATGTGATCGATTTACGTTCAAGGCTGGTTCGAGGCTGCTGAGCGACAAGTCACCCTCTGGCGGGTGCTGTACCGGAAATTAGTGCTGGCAAGAAATAACCGAGCATCTTCACACAAATGAAGTAACCGCTCACCGTTATTATTACGGGAGCCTACACCATGTTGACCGCCGAGATGCAGTTCATCAGTGGACAACTTTTCATCTTGCGCGTTCAGATCACCAGCCAGCACAAGAGCGTCCGAGCTTCTTCTCTGGCGAAGGAGCTGGGTCAGTTGGCGGTCAATTCGTTCTTTACCTAATCATCTCTAGTTTGTGGGCGCGTAGGCAGCGATGATGAACAGACACCTGTTAGTCCCGCGCGACTTCGAAGCTTTAAACGAACCAGCCAATCGGACTGCACACATCCGGCTACTGATTGGAATCCAATCAACCAGAGCAGCTTCAGCCTGAGGACTCAGAGCAATACCAACACCGGCTTGGCCGGTGTTCGAAGCTGCATCGTCACCGGATAGGCGCAATGAGAAAGTGCTGCTGGTGTCACCTGAAGGGCATCGCAGAGTGATCACAGAGCTCGAGTCTTGCAGGCGGGTCTCCCATAAGCAGCAAATATCGATCGAGAGGGTCACTAATGTTCGGGCAAGTACTGCTTGTTGACCGATCTGTAGCAATGTGCGTACATTGAGGCATGCCAATTTGAAGGATGGTCGAGGGCTCCAAATGGAAGTCGATGAACTGGGCTTGGCCGCTTGGTTGGACGTGGGCTTGTCGACAGGACAGGAATGACGCTCCGCGTTCACATGTGAGTTGAAACTATACCATTTTACACGCATATTAGCGTATTGTACCAAGCTTTTAGCGTGGTTCATTTTCGAAATAGCGTGCGGTACTTTCAAGTTAGCGAGGCGGAGAACGCTGATTTGGCGTCCTTGACACTCTCATTGGTTATGGGACGTAAACCAATGGGACTTCGGTTAGAAGCTGCCAGCATACGCGACAGACAGTCTAATGAAAGTGGTCGAGCACCACCTTCCGTTCTGCCCTGATGCCCCGCTGGAGTAAACCTCGATGATTGGTCTCCAACCTGAAATCGACCAATAGGTAAATTGTGATGCTTGTCAAAGGAGGAGATGCTAGCTACCACACTATCCAAAGCTTAAGACTTAACCAGTGTGGATAGACATACTTACCAGCACATGTAGCGGTCTATGGCGATCACTGGCGACTACCTAATGGTGGCTTATTCAGCGGCCTAACCATGGTGGCATAGACAGGCAACCATCTAACTCTTATTCCACAGTACAGCAATGGCTGGTAGGCGGTTAGACAATTGTGTGCGAATGTCATTGCAACGATCATGGGGGACACAGTTCCCACAGAAGTTAGTAGACCAACCTGAAGCTGAACAACGACAATTCTAAGGTTGCTTAATTCGATCACAGTTGACGACTCAACAAAAAATAAGAGGATTCCAAGTGTGGCGCTGACACGACGTCAGTGAGTGTTCGTTTGCATCCATACCCATGGGCGAAATGTTAATCAGTTGTCGCTTCAGTGTCTCTATGTATGGCGTTACCTAAAGGTCATAGGAAGCTACGAATTCATAGAATAATTAGGTTTCACTTCCATATGGTCGCCCATGGTGTCGTAGAGAGGCAAGCATCTAACTCGTACTCCACAGTACAGCAATAGCTGCTAGGCGGTTAGACAATTGTGTGCGAATGTCATTGCAAAGATCATGGGGGACATAGTTCCCACAGAAGTTGTTAAACCAACCTGAAGCTGAACAATGACAATTCTAAGGTTGCTTAATTCGATCACAGTTGATGACTCAACAAAAAATGATAGGATTGCAATTGTGGCGTTGCCACGACGTCAGTGAGTGTTCGTTTGTCTCCATACCCATAGGCGAAATGTTAATCAGTTGTCGCTTCAGTGTCTCTATATTTGGCGTTACGTAAAGGTCATAGGAAGCTATGAATTTATAGGATCACTAGGTTTCACTTCCATATGGTCGCCCATGGTGACGTAGACAGAGAATAATCTCACTGGTATTCCGCACGTCAGCAATGGCTGCTAGGTAGTTATATAATTTCGCGCGATGGTTATTGCGACGATCATGGGGACATTGTTCCCACTGAAGTTAATAGACCAACCTGAAGCTGAACAACGAAAATTCTATGTTCGCTTACTTCTATCTCAGTTGATGGC